ATTACTACACACACACACACACACACACACACACACACACACACACACACACCCACCGAAGAGCTCAGCTTCCAGTTAGGCAGGCCGGAATTTTACTTTTTGTAATTGAATTTTCTTTTAAAATCTGGCCATAGGCGCACGCCTGTTCATTTCGACTGGATCCTTTATTGTAAAAGACGTTCTGTTCAGATTCTGCAAGAAAGCCCAACATGAACAAGGCAGGAACTTGCATCGTGGGAACGCCTCAGCCCCTGCTATTTCGTTTTTTTCCAGTCAGTTGAGGATTTCTTTTCTCATGCCTTATGATAGTTGTGGCACTCAGATGAACTCTGGTGACGAGGGCCAGAGATGTGGACAGGCACACAGACAGGTAGGCATGAGGATGGACGGACAGCTGGGTCGATAGATGCATGGAGTACATGGGGGTGGATGGAGAGAACAACAGGGGATGTGCACATGACAAAGGCAGACGGGGCCAAAGTTCCCTTCATGGAAGAATAGAAAAGCACCACCCAAAAAGCACAGGGCTGGCAGTTTTGCTCTGGCAGGGCCTTTCCGCAGAGGCTCGAAGGCCCTGGGGTTCCACTGCCTCCCTTCAGATTGATTGTGACAAGCAGCAGGCTGGGAACCTACCCGAGCTGTCAGAGGGGATGAGCTGAGATTTTTCACGGGCTCTTCAGCTAATCCTTCAGGGGAAGCAGCGTAATGAGGCTGAGAGCTCTTCCGGCTCATTTGTTTCTTTTACATGTCCAGGTGCGTGTCCAGGGGAGCTGTCTCAAGCAGCCAGCCAGGGTCTGAACAGCGACCCAGCAAGATTGTGTGATGGCTCTCTACTGGCTTTGGAGTGGGGTGGGTAGGGGGGTGGGGGCCTCCTGGACCATGACAGCTTTCTAAGCACCCACCTCCCATTGCTGTCACTCACCAGACTTATTAGCGTGTGCTGATCATACGGGATGGACAGCCAATAGCTTCCAAACAGTGATACAGAGAGCGATATAATCTACTTGGACAGTAGGTGTATGCTGCGCTGCCCTCTGCTGGATGACATCAGCACAGCTCACCTGTGTGCCATTGGCCCTGTACCGCTCACAGTGATCCTCCTTTAGCTCAAGCGGCCCAGGGATGCGCCGCAGGAGAACTTGAGTTTAGAGCGACGATTACTTAGTTGCGAGAAGAGCTGATATGGCAGGTCGCGGCTGTGCTGACACTACACCTCCGTGCATTGGATCCGCTGCGTTGGTGAGCCGGGCAGGCAGTGCACCGATCGGCGCAGGGGGCTGGGGGTCACACTGCTAGCTGTGCCTCTGACTCATCGGGTGCTGAGGGGCCAGTCCCTCAGCCCTGCTCTGGCACATGTCACCTGCCCGGTGCCCGGCTCCTTGCTGTGCAGTCAAACCCTCGGAAATCCTCCGGTCACACGGCGGGGAATCGGGCAGCAGTGTCAAAGCCCCTGTCCGATTTGAGAGCCACAGATTCAGGTTCGTCATTCGCGTCCCTCACTTATATTGGGGGGGATGGGGTGGGAGAACCACCCGCCTCCAACGCCCAGGGCGAAATGCCCCAGGCTGCGCCCTCGACGGTGTCACTTGTCCGGGGGGGATCAAACCTGGGAGCAAAGTTCAAGCAAGTTAACCATCACTGGATGATGGTCTGTTCTGTTCATTCCCTCTGGGGCACCTGGCATTGGCCACTGCTGGTAGACAGGATACTGGGCTAGATGGACCTTTGGTCTGACCCAATACAGCCGCTCTTATGGGGTTGAGATGCCGGGCAAGGTGCTCCGCCGGGGCCGCGCCACTGAGAATTCCGGTGCAAACGAAAGGTGTCAGTTGTTGTGGGGGGGCCGGTGGTTCCCAGAAGAGGCTCCGTCCCCCCTTTCCCAATCCGATTGGCCTCTCGCAACATCCCAACCCCCCGCCACAACGAACACGTGAGATTGGGGAAAAGAAGAGAGAGATCCCTGAGGCTGGGCCAGGGTCAGCCCAGCATGGACACGGTTCGGTGAGTAACGGCCATCCCGCTACGGGCTGCTGAGAGTAGATGCCATGGCAAGATGGTGCAGACCGAACAGAAACCTGCTAGCCCAGAGCTCAGTCCATAGACAGCTGCAGTGCGTGTGGTTTATTTATTGATGTGAACACTAAGTGGATAGTTCTGACACCGCTTTAAATTTTCCTTTGCAGCCAGTTAATAGCTAGGCCAGAAATAACAAAATCCGTGCTGGGTCCCACCACTTTCTAAGCAGACGGGGGAGTGAGGCCGTCTCTTCTGTTTCTCTCAGCGCTGTCTGTCGTGCCCACAAAGATTCGATCCCCCTCCCATGGGAGGAACCAGCCATCTTCTTCGGAGCGGACCTGGGTGACCTGGAGAGAGCAGGCTCCTCTGAATTGGAAATGCGCCCCCTAGTTTGCCGGGTAAAGAACCGGACTGTGGGAAGAGGCAAGAATCGTCGCTGGATTCACCAGGCTCATAGGGATGGTGTCAAAGGTGCAGCCGGACAGAA